AAACTTTATTTAAATACTTAATAACTTCTTTATTTACAAAAATAATCTCACGAAACTTTTTTTTCTGTATGTAGAACGATATCATACGTAATCTGTACAAAAGATGGATAAAATATCTTAAATTTACGGTTTTTTTAAAAAAAAATTGTTTTTTTCCTGTAATACCGTTTTAAGAGATTCCTTTAAAACAATATTTTGCTTAATTTTTTTTTTTTATTATTTTTAAATTACCGTTGTTTGTTATCGATGTGGGAAATTTTGAAACTTCAACTTAAAAATTAACTAATCAAAAAATGAAAAATTAAAACAAACCTTTGCAAGAATTTTAGATTTTTGCGCATGCGCGTGGGAAATCGAGGGAACTCGCGTTAGTGACATTGCTTTTTAGAACTAAGCCGGTAAAAGGAGGAGATTGTGAGAATGTGGAATTTCCCCGTGTTATGCTCGCTCCTCACCTGAGTTATTTATAGAATCATTTCATTCATTACCGATAATGGTTTTAAGTGCAGGCTTTTTACCCTTTTATTGAAATATATTTTTAATCTAACATTCAAAATCAACGCAATAAAGAAATTAATACTCTTTTCAATAAACAACGGGAGAATTTTTTATAGCAGTGGAATAAAAACACCTTAAAAATTCTGTTTTAAAAAACAACGAAACTTTGCATATAAATTAATTTATTTAAAAAAGGTTTACTGATTATTAAATCATATTTTAGAAAATTACTTTGCAGTTTAAAAAAGTAAAATAATTTTAATGTAATTATATAAATATTTATATTAAACTTCATAAATATAATTATTAATATATAATACTTTTTGGAAATTTTGTTATAATAAACATTAAATGAATATTTTATATAAAAATAAGTTACAAAAAGTTTTATAAAATGACATGCAATATGTTAAAAAATAAGATATTATATAAATTATTATAATACATAAAATTATTGTGTTAAAACAATGAAAATGTTTGTTTTGTATAACATACTTTTTTTTGTCATATACGTCTTTACATGATTTACTAAACACAGTGGAATGAAAAACATTAAAATTAAATTAAAATATCAAAATTTTTTTTTTCAGATTGTTTTTTTTTCCTTTTAAATGTTTTTTTCAGTACATGTATGTATATATATCTAGGCTTTCAAGCATTATGTTTCTTTTTTTATAACCTATAAATATTTATATGTTTAATCAAACATTCAAACGTTCAGAAAAAAGCAACCGTTTCAACAGCTATCTGTAAATTTTTCTTTTATTTATTACTTATACAAATTTGATTTTAATAAATATATATATGTTTTTTAAAGGATTATTCCTATCATTTAATTACTAAATTAAGTATTTGTTTATTTAAAAGTTCATTGTTGATTATATTGGATCAAAATACATTTTAGATACATTTTTAAGCTAACTATATGTAACGATTGACTCATTAAAAAATCTGAAATCTATTTTATTATTTTAGATTCTTAGAAACTAACTATTATTAAAAAATGATCAAAGTTTTTTTGTTTTACTCTTAGCATCATAATCGTTTTCTTTTTTTATTGCTTCATATATATTAATAATTTTTTAACTCTAACTCGATATTGTTTTTTATAAGTCCTACATCGAAATTTGAAGCTATATCTTATCAGTGAGGGGGAGGAAAAGATTGAACAATAATTTTACACAAAAAAACCCGTGTTATGCCGGGCTATAGATAGGGGAAATAAACTTAATTCAAATAAAAAGCAAGTGGAATGGAACAAATTTCGAAAAAGGGAAATTTTTTGACATAATTTTAAAAATCACTCGTATTGTGCGGGAAAGAGAAAGCCCGTGCAACGCTGGGCCATGCATCTATTCTACACTGTTGAAATTCGTTGGAAACTAACGTATGTACGTCTATCTTCTCACGTTCCGCATGACGCAGAAACTCGCCAAAGGTACCAAAAAATCGAAAATCACTCGAGAAATCCGTTTTGACCCTTTATATTCTGATATTCGAATTAGTTAAAAAGATATTAATTAAAAACCTTAAAACGCAAAATTAGTCGTATTTTTCCCCCCCTGGGAGCAAAGCTCTAGAGTTCTCCGAACTTCTTTTTTTTTCCAGACGTTTTTAAAACACGATCTAGCTTTTTTAGAAGCCGAAAAATAATTACAGAATCGGAAAGATCATTTACTTCGCCCAATACGGTATAATTTATTTTACAAAATAATGATATTTTCTATTTTTCACGATTTTTTCTAAAATGAATCAAAATCGATACGTTTTATGAAAATGATTTCTAAATCGTTCCGTTTGCATTTTCCCGCATTAATGAAATGATATTTTACTCTAAAAAAGTTCATGCTTTTTGCTTTGAGAATCAGTCATTTGAAAAATTAAATATCAAAAAATTGTTACGATTTTTTTTTAAAAAGAATTCAATTTTTTTTATTTAATAACTTCTTTTTTTATAAAAACAATCTCACAAACGTTTTTTTCCATGTGTAGAACGACATTATCCGTAATCTGTACAAAAATTGAAAAAATTACTTAAAAATAACGGTTTTTTAAGAACAAAAAAATTGCGTTTTTCGTTTTTTTTCCCCCCTTTTTGTGCAAGAAATATTTAAGAATTATTTTTCTTGCATTTTTTTAAAAAAATTATTGTTGTTTCAATCAATGTATGAATTTTGAAGGCATAACCTTGAAAATGAAGCCCGAAAAAAAAAATTAAAACTTTAACAAATAAAGTCTTTTTACAATAGGATTAAATCTTCCTTTTATTTTGAAGGTTTTTTCACTTCTTTTTCCGGACGATCTCGTGGCACGATCATTTAGTGCGCTTCATTACTAACTGCTGTACCCGGGTTTGAAACAACATCATCGCTTAATTTTTATGATTTTTTTAAAAAAATACTTCTAAATTTTATTCGCGCATTTAAAAATCTCGCCGAGATTGTAATTGGAAAGATAATTTATTTCGTCAAGATACAGTTTTTTTTTCTTTGACGAAATATCGATGCGTTTATTTGAAAATCATTTTTGAAAAACTCATATCTTTGAACTTTAAGAGTTTCTGATTTAAAAATAAATTGCCAAAAACTTTTTTTTTACGAAATTTTAAAAAAATTCTCAAATATTAAATATTTAATAACTGCTTATCAAATTTAAAGTATTTATAACTTCATTATTAAAATAATTGTATGAAACTTTTTTATTTCCGTGTATCGAACATTTCAAGAAATACTCACAATTTTAATTCAACATTTAATACAGATTGTGAAATTTTGTAGATATAAAAATTTCTAATTTTTTCAACATATAACTAGTTTTATAAAGGTACATTTTCGTTTCCGGGTCCTAAAAAGCTGCAAAGTGAGTGAGTGAATATTAAAGTACCACTGTTCACATACTCTAGAGCTCTGGTAGCGAGAGAGCGCTGCTGTAGTCCAGTGATCAAGGTATCGGATCATGGCAGGCATGCCATGATTTCGAGCCCAGTACCACCAAAAAGAAAAAAAAATCGTAAGTACTAAAATAACAAAAAAACAAAAATTATATATTGAATTAAAAAAGGATTACAGAAGAGAAAGATAAAATAGGCGCTGCTAATATTCATAATATTACTTTCATGATATCTAAAACACATAACGAAAACAGAAAAATACAACATTGTTGTAGTCATGAGTTTATTACTGGGATACATACGAAAAACGTGAGGTAGATGAACAGAAATATATAACACAATCACAGAATACAAATTTTTATTACAAACGATGATCCCAGCAAAGAACAAAGAAGGTACGCTGCTTTCCTTTTGAGATGGAAATCCATTTCAGGTGATGGTCCAAATTTTTTTCCCGAAGATACATCAATGCTTTATTCGGGAATCGAACCGGAATCTACTCGATTGCAAGCCGAGTGTCATAACCACCATACTGGGCAGGGCGGCACGGAAATACAATTGTAACGTATATTGCAGTAAGAGAACTGAACTACCATTATCAGTACGAAGTTTTGATTTGTAAAAAGAATTATAATCTTCACTTTATAAATAAATAAATAAATTCTGCGTGACATTACTGAAAAAATCTAATTTGTAAGCAAAATCACACACACATAAACATCTCGCGATAATACTGTCCGAATGTTGCCAAAACTACAAAACAATGTTTTAGTTGTTAAAAGAATAATCACTAAAAAATGAAATTTATTAATTCGAAAAATACTCCTAATTAAGTATTAAAAATACAGAGAAATCGGATTAATATACCAACTGATAAATATAACTATAGTAAAAATATGTAATAATCTTGAAAAACTGCATGTAAAGCATAAATTTTCGCATTTAGTGAGAGGAGAGATATCATTTGACGTCATAACACTGGAAAATCACTTAAAAATAAAATTTTAAAAAACTTAGATAGAATAACGAAATAATTACATAAAATTCCGTCTGGATTCAAATGCAACTTTACGTCAAAATTGTAGAGGAAATAGTAGTTTTGATGATTAGCGGCTTTAAACAAACACACATTACACATTTTTATTTATACAGATATACGTTATCCCCATGGCAACGACATCGACAGACGTTAAAAATATCGAGGTAACTATAGTTTAATGTTATAGCCCATTTTGGCGAACATAAACAATTTGGCGCTATTACCCCGTATATCCAACTAGCAACAAAAAATATAAAAACAAATAATATATGTAAAAAAAAATGAAGTCAGTTCGTACTTAGGTCAACAAAGATACATTCTATTTTAGTTACTTTTTTATGAATTGTTACAATTCATATAAATATGCATATATATATGACAGAATCACAATATTAAGTGACAAAATACAAAGCGATTTTCCTTGCAATTTTCCATTTTTTCTTCTATATAGGTTTTGGACTACTATTTTTGTTTGTTTGTTACTATTTACTCACATGACATAAATTAAATTATTCTAATAAAATAGGATAGGAAAAAAAATAAAAAAATAAATCACATTCTCAGGAATTAGGCCATCCCAGGTGAGATTCGAACCCACAACTGTTAGATTAGAAGTTTCAACACGCTATCCATTGCATTACTGGAACACAACAAACTATTTTCCTTTCTGTATATGCTGTTATACTATTGTTTTTGTGTGTGTTTGTTACTATTTATTCATTACTTAATTATAATTAATGAATCAATATTTAAAAAACTGTATTAACATCAAGTGTAATCCACTACAAGTTTAAAAGATGTATTTGAACTTCGGTGGAAGAATAAAAAGTACTTTATTAACGATTAAAGGTATATATATATATATATATATATATATATATATATATATATATATATATATATATATATATATATAGGATAAATTATTGAACCAATAGATGGAATTGAAAAAAAATCTCAGAGAAATACAAATACCAGTTACAATGCTGCTAAGCTTGAATGGATTTTTAATTTAATCTTTCGTCACAACAGTAGTACAGAGAAACATTTTCATAAATGTGATAGGGAGAAATAAATAGGAAAGAGAGTATACCGAAGTATGAAGGACGCCTATATCAGCTTTGTTGATTAAAAGCTAAGCCAGTAAGAAACTTTTAAAAACATATTTAAAAAATAACGATCATATACGTAAGCACTATAAAAAAATCAGTATCAAACGATGTCGTTATCAACCAACTTGAAAAAAAAAAAAAAATGGCGAATAGCTTACTGATACCAGATTACCCAATATTCTTGCATTAAAATGAATTTTGATATATATTTTCAATTTAAACTGCCGCAATTAAATTCCCGCTTATATAATTACCATATATGAATATATTCTTATTTAATTTTGAAACAATAAAAAGGAATAACCTAATTTTAATTGCGAACTTTTGAAAAAATTAAAACTTCTGTTAAATTGTTAAATACAATATGGATTGCAGAGAAATTTTATAAAGCGTAGAATATAGGTGGCCTCTTCGATTTTTATTAAGATGCCAGAAGAATTGCCGGTTGCCAATTCTCCGTTACTTCGGCTTCGCTTCACACCTATCAGTGTTCTACCACAGTTTGGCGACTAAATCTCGTCGCCAAGATACCACATATTCTACATTTCAACCGAAATATTGTTCACAATATGATGAAGAGGAAAATCAAAGTATTTCGTACAATGTACTGCCATAGTATTGACTATGCAATTGCGAGGTAAAACAAAGCATACTGAAGTAAAACGATACCTATAGTAGACCCTTTGATTAAAAGGACACAGTACGATTCAATTCTCTAAAATTGGTCAAAAAAGCAAATGCAATTTTCTTAGCCTAAATTATTCCTTAGATTCTTTGCTATAACCTCAAACTTTGGAAACCTAAACTTAGGAAACGCGGAATTATGATAGCTTACCTTTTTTTTACATCTCTCTATGGCACAAATCAAAACTTTAAATTTACTTATATCAGAAAGACAAAATGACTATGTCTTCATTTAAAATACTAAGGCTTTTTTTGTGACTAATGCTTTATTTTTTTTTTATTTACCGTTTGCTAATAGTACATGTAACAAAAGTCGGTATGAATCAAAGAAAAACTTATTTTTTAATAATAATTGAACTCAGAATTTATAGATTTTGAAGGAATTTTATAAGCATTTATAAAAAAAAGTTATATTACGGATACCAATCATGTTATCGCAAAAATCATACCAATTTTTGTTATACATAGTTTTACGTACTTGTAGTCACATTTCAGGCATGTACTTAAATTTTTAAATGAGGAGTAGCATTTTAAAATCATTTCACAATTTTTTCCTTAAAAAACTAAATGGCCAGCTTTTTATGAAATTTTGAGAACAAAATCTGTTTTACAACCTTTACAAACATAGGACGCAACTAAAATTTTAAAAATCCTTAAATTAAATTTTTTTGCGTAAATCGTACCATGTCCTCTTAAAAATTAAACACGAGAAGAAACTTTTACAACATAATCAATATACAGGTGTGTAAATAATTGAAAAAAAAAGTACGCTGACATCTTATGATTGTTCAAAAATTATTAAATATATTAAAGTCTGCGTACTTAATTAAAACTTCACAACATAATAAAACCAATTTATATTTATTTCTTAAAAAAAGATTCTTGATTTTAAACAATTGGATATTAAAGAATTATCCATAAAATTATAAATAAAATTTACTGTGATTTTTTTTTCAGATTGTAAAGTTGATTTTAAAACGTTATGAAAATTCTGTTGAATCCATTGAAATAATGGTGTCGTCAATGTGTTCTGAATCCATTGAAATAATGGTGTCGTCAATGTGTTCTGAATCCATTGAAATAATGGTGTCGTCAATGTGTTCTTTTTTAATACGTTTGCTTCTATGCTCGGTATGGCTCTGGTCTTGAAAGGATTTTCTGGATGTACTTGGAGCGTTTTGCTGAAAATCAAATTGCAGAACTGGAAGAATCTTTTCTGGTGGCTGTTGAAAAAATTCTTTGGATGTACTGGGAACGTTAGGGGGAAGAGCAAGATTAAAACTTGAAAAATTTATACTAGATGACTTCAACTGTGCGTTTTTGAAAGTTCTGTCGTGTTTTACAAAGTTAATTAATTTTTCTGTTAAAATTCGATCATTCCGACAACCTTCTTGAAAAACTGGTTCTGAGGTAGATGTTCCTGGATTTGTCTCTACAGTACCTGAAGAAATATTGCTTTGAACTTGTGCTATTTTTTCACATAAAAACGTAGGACAATTTTTTCTCCTACAGTTTATAAAATGACGACCGACAAGGCTAAAGAAAAAATGACATTTCATACAAAAAACCAAATCCAGACAATTTATGACATGTTGAATATACGCCTTAATTATCATGCACGTTTCAATAGCACAGTTCAAATCGTTACATATGCTGGCATGTTCTAGATACCTGTAGTCAAAGGTATTTAAATCCATCCCTTTTCGTAATATAAAACCATTTACATCGCCGTCAATCGGAAGATCCATGTTAACATGACAGACTAAAGTACAAAGTTATATTTTAACTGGAGGCTTCAGTGTCGTATTTAACGTTTCAGGTTGTCTGTTTCTACCAGAAACCAAAGCTCGTGATTTCCCGTATGTGAGCTTAAAAAGAACAAGAAAAAAAAAACTCATTTGAAATTTGATTTAGTGTTTGATAGAGGTTTGGGTTCATTTCATAGTGAGTTTTGAAAGGCAATCGTAGCAGCATAGTGTTCATGGCGTCACGTGCTTCATTGCTTAGAAAGGTTCCATTTAAGACTGAGGCTGTGGTAGCTCAGTTGTTAAGGTATCGGATCATGGCAGGCATGTCACGTGTTCGAGCCCAGTACCACTGATGACCTACCGTATAAGGGAGGGATGCACCTTAAATCATTCGAGAACTCAAAGGTCCTCCAGTTAATCTGGTGGGGTAGTTACGAGAAAGGAGTTGTCACATTCAGCTGTCGTCCTCGTCACTTGACCATAGTTCAAAATTACGAGGTCGATAGCCAAAATTCCTCATGTAGCTGATCAGTGCGACTACAATATTCACTCACTCACTCCAGTTCAGACTATACCAGTGAGTGAGCGTTTGTTTAAGCCCCATCATAAAGATTCACTAGAGATTTTGGGCATGGATCTCATAATTTTTAGCTATGATCAAGTGACAAGGGGGACACCTGTGATGGCAACCCCTCCCCTAACAAACACATCAGTGGGAAGACGTTCAATTTAATTTGCATCGGGCTTCTTCTGCTCGGTGGGTCTTCATTAATCAAATGTTCAAACTGATAACACGATCCCTATTAGTGCGTGGCCTTGAACACTAGACCACTATGTCTATACTTAACGCCTGTACTGCCAAAGAATGAAGTGGCCGTGGAAACCGGAAGGTATAGGTATCGGATCGTGGTTTGCCTTGTCACGAGTTCGAGCCATGTACCACTAAAGACCCGCTGGGCAGGGGAGCGGTGCACGTTAAATCTGACGACAGCTGGAACGTCCTCCCGTAGGTATGGTGTGGTTGTTAGGAGAGGGGGTGCCAGCTCAAGTGTCGTCCACGTCATTTGACTATGGTTCAAAATTACTTGGTCCGTCGCCAAAACCCCTCATGTAGCTCAACCGTGTGCGACGTTAATATTCAATCAATCAGCGAAAGAATGAAACATGTGCATCAGATTAAATAAAGCCGGGTCTCAGAGTTCTTGCGTGTCCTTGGTTGGATATATCGGATGTAGCTTCCCTTTTTAGTCTGATACAAAAGTATGAGGACTAGCGTTAATGAGCTCCCATTTTTCTCAAATAGTAATGCTCCAAGAAGATTGAGTCAGGAAATTCCCAGTAGTAATCAGAAAAGCTGCGAATTAAAAAAAATGTTTTAACACCACTTCAGCACTTGTCCACTGATCACTGCATCCTCTACGAGAAATCAATGCGTGATCGAGAGTAAGAAATGAGGTGCATAATACTTTCCAATTTTTTTATTGCCAACTATATAGAATTAGGTGGGTTATTGAGTGAGTGGGGAATATTAACGCCGCACTGTTCAGCTACACGAGGGGTTTTGGTGACGGACCACGTCATTTTGAACTATGGTCAAGAGAAGAGGGCGACTCCTGCGCTCTCAACCTCCCTCTCCTTGCTACCACACCACACCAACGGGAGGACGTTTGAACTCTCGACAAATTTAACGTGCACCGATCCCCTATACCAGTGCTCCGCAACCTTTTTATCGCGTCGAACCGGTCAACGTTTGATAATTTTACCGCGGACCGCTGAGGGTGGGACACGTTAATTGTTTTGATTGACCAATTTTAATTTAATTACATTTAAATATGCCTTCAGAATAAAATATAGTTAAACAAAAAGTGAATAAAAATGATTTAACGTGGAATATAATGTGATTTTTGTGGAAAGTTGAGCAAATGCGAGAGAAATGTACCACTTTAAATAAAATAATAGTTTAATATTCTTTAGGTGGCCCGGCACCATTAAATTCATGGACCGGTACCGGTCGACCGACCGAGGGTTGTGGATCACTGTCCTATACGGCGGGCCTTTAGAGGTAATGCGCTCGAACTCGTGACAAAAAGCGATCCCTTTGCC